CCCTCGGAGGCCACGATCTTCGTGAGGGGTGTCGAAAAATACCCTCCCCTGGAGTGGTCTGGTGGCTTCTCCCGGGCTTCTCTCGGGACCTTGCCGGGGTACTTTTCGTCCGGGGGCCCCCAGGGGCCGCTCCGCGCGCGCGAACTAGAAATATTGTTAACAAGTTACCGGAGATCTTAGCACGCCTCTGGCCCGTTGGGCCGGCGAATTCAGGCTCGATGTTTCCCCTCCTGCTCTCCTGAGCTGGTCTCCCCCCAGTGGTGCCCCTCGGCTCAGGAGTGCTTCACCCTGGCCAGCAGCCTTGCCGGACTGGGGGGCAAGAGCACGATCGATCTTACCAACAGCGGGTTCAATTTTCTCGGCTGTGTCTACAATGCAGGGATCGATGCGGTCACGTTCGCTTCCGATGGGTCCCCCAGCACAGTGAACAGCGCCTGGCAGTACATGTGCCTAGGCGAGACCACGACAACTACCACTGCTACGACCAGTAGTGCCACGAGTAGCACCAGGTCCACGTTCACCACGACGTCCGAAAGCAGCACCACAACGAATTCTGCCACCAGTAGTACAACATTGACGTCTACGACTGCGAGCAGCACGACTCTCACAAGCACGACTGCCAGCAGCACCACCACGTTGAGTTCCACTTCGGAGACGAGTTCTCTCACCAGCAGCACGTCGTTGACGTCCACGACAGCATCCAGCACTACAGAATCCAGCAGCACCAGTCTCAGCACCACCACCGAATCAAGCAGCACAACTCTCTCAAGCACGACCGCCAGCAGCACCACCACGTTGACTTCCACTTCGGAGACGAGTTCTCTCACCAGCAGCACGTCGTTGACTTCCACGACGCAATCAAGCAGCACGGAATCAAGCAGCACAACTCTCACAAGCACGACTGCCAGCAGCACCATCACGTTGAGTTCCACTTCGGAGACGAGTTCTCTCACCAGCAGCACGTCGTTGACTTCCACGACGGCATCCAGCACTACAGAGTCCAGCAGCACCAGTCTCAGCACCACCACCGAATCCAGCAGCACAACTCTCACAAGCACGACTGCGAGCAGCACCACCACGTTGAGTTCCACTTCGGAGACGAGTTCTCTCACCAGCAGCACGTCGTTGACTTCCACGACGGCATCCAGCACCACGGAATCCAGTAGCACCAGCTTGAGCACCACCACAGAGTCCAGCAGCACAACTCTCACAAGCACGACTGCCAGCAGCACAACCACGTTGAGTTCCACTTCGGAGACGAGTTCTCTCACCAGCAGCACGTCGTTGACTTCCACGACGCAATCAAGCAGCACGGAAACAAGCACCACAACTCTCACAAGCACGACTGGCAGCAGCACCATCACGTTGAGTTCCACTTCGGAGACGAGTTCTCTAACCAGCAGCACGTCGTTGACTTCCACGACGGCATCCAGCACTACAGAATCCAGCAGCACCAGTCTCAGCACCACCACCGAATCCAGCAGCACAACTCTCACAAGCACGACTGCGAGCAGCACCACCACGTTGAGTTCCACTTCGGAGACGAGTTCTCTCACCAGCAGCACGTCGTTGACTTCCACGACGGAATCAAGCAGCACGGACACAAGCACCACAACTCTCACAAGCACGACTGCCAGCAGCACCATCACGTTGAGTTCCACTTCGGAGACGAGTTCTCTCACCAGCAGCACGTCGTTGACGTCCACGACGGCATCCAGCACCACGGAATCCAGTAGCACCAGCTTGAGCACCACCACAGAGTCCAGCAGCACAACTCTCACAAGCACGACTGCCAGCAGCACCATCACGTTGAGTTCCACTTCGGAGACGAGTTCTCTCACCAGCAGCACGTCGTTGACTTCCACGACGCAATCAAGCAGCACAACTCTCACAAGCACGACTGCCAGCAGCACCATCACGTTGAGTTCCACTTCGGAGACGAGTTCTCTCACCAGCAGCACGTCGCTGACTTCCACGACGGAATCAAGCAGCACGGAAACAAGCACCACAACTCTCACAAGCACGACTGCCAGCAGCACCATCACGTTGAGTTCCACTTCGGAGACGAGTTCTCTCACCAGCAGCACGTCGTTGACTTCCACGACGCAATCAAGCAGCACAACTCTCACAAGCACGACTGCCAGCAGCACCACCACGTTGAGTTCCACTTCGGAGACGAGTTCTCTCACCAGCAGCACGTCGTTGACTTCCACGACGCAATCAAGCAGCACAACTCTCTCAAGCACGACTGCCAGCAGCACCATCACGTTGAGTTCCACTTCGGAGACGAGTTCTCTCACCAGCAGCACGTCGTTGACTTCCACGACGGCGTCCAGCAGCACAACTCTCACGAGTACAACTCCCACAAGCACGACTGCCAGTAGCACCATCACTTTGAGTTCCACTTCGGAGACGAGTTCTCTCACCAGTAGCACTACTCAGACCAGCACCACAGAATCCAGCACCACCAGTCTCACAAGCACGACTGCCAGCAGCACCATCACGTTGAGCACAACATCAGAATCCAGCACCACGAGTCTGACGAGCACGAGCGCCAGCAGCAGCACGACGCTTACCAGTACGTCTGCGACGAGCTCGATTCTGAGGCTTGCGCCACCCCGTCGAGTTGGGAATAAGTGGATCTCACGCGCACTGGAGGAGGGGGAGGGAAGATTGTTAGGTATAGGAGCCAGCCAATGGCGATGTCAATCACATTCGAGTGACCCAGTGCCCTTTCTGAAAGTAATGAGCCCATGTGCCACGAATAAGTGCTTGCCAGACAGCACAGATTGCTGGCAACCCGTTGTATCTTCCACAGGGAGGGAAATAAGAATCCTGCGTGCACCACCAGGAGAAATTCTAACATCCACGCGCACCAGAAACAAAGCGGAGCCCATGCTCGGCGAAAAGGCGGCCAACGTCTATCATACCATTGAGTCGCACAAGAGGTGCCGAGCAACATCTCTGATCAATACCATTCGGAATGCCATCCTGCATGTCAGGCCACTGCTCTCCATGACCGCCGAGGCGACCCTGAGCCGAGCCCTCACGTGCCCCTGCCGATGAAGCAGGGAACCAGGGAAGAAGGGCAGACACCAGCACAGAGCCATGCCAAGAAGCACCTTTGCCCGCCTCCAGGGTGCCCCGGGTTGCTTGGGTTCGATGGTTCTGCGATGGGAAGCGTGGCGCTCCCACACCAAAAGTCGATGGAAGTCCTGGGGTCTCGGGGCTGGGTTTCTTGTGGAGGCTTTCTTCTGGTCGAGCCCCTGCTGCATTCCAAATGGTTCGGTGCTGCCGATGCCTGGACCCCCTCGCGTGGTGACAACATCACGACGGGAGATCTTCCCCAAAATTCTCGGCCTCCAGGGGCCCTTCCAAGGGCCCCAGGGCCGTGTGAGAGCGACTCGGGACGAAAAACCGGCCCCGGGGAAGGGGTCCAGACTGATGGGCCTATTTCCCACCACCACTACCATAGGTAGGATAATGAGGAGGAGGAGGAGGAGGAGGAGGAGGAGGAGGAGGAGGAGGAGGGGTCCTGACCTTTGGGCGTCGACGTCGTGAAAAAAAACCCGACGTCGGGGGCCTGGGCAGGGTTTTTTGTCGGCCTGCGCAGCGCCAGAGAGGGGCCACCGGCGGGGGCCACGGGGGAGGGCCACGGAGGAGGGCCACAGAGGGGGCCACTGCGAGGGAGCAGCGCCACTCTAAAGTGAGCTGGGACAAGGGCGAGAGATAGCGAGCGTTTGTCCGTGGCCGCTTGGGCTCAAGCGGCCGGCCGCCAACATATGACTGCGCCTCATCGCGAGGCGCACTACTTGCCATCGGGACCGAAAACATTTTCGCTTGAGATGACCCGTCGCTCCCGCGACGACCTCCTCCGACTGGGACTATCATTGCTACGGTACAACAGAACAGGAGCTGGGCTTCGCCTAAGGCGAAGCTGCTGGTTGGGCCTCCCAACGCCCCTCAAACTTGGTAGCGGAGCTGGCCTGTTGTGGTCAGCTCTTGCTCTACTCCTCACCATCCACGGCGCTATCTGGTGGACTATTGACATGGTGGAACATCAGGGCGCAGTGGGTCTGCGCGGAGGAATGTACATAATCACGCACAACCGCAAGGACACTTGCAGTGCTACCTCTGCTCCTCGCGGAGGCCTCTTACTCGAGTCCTACACCCCTGCGCTACTACACTTCTGAAGTCCACCCACCTACTCCAATTGGATTTTTTAAGATACCATGCGTGGCAACATGCGATACGATATTGTTCCGCCTCCACTTCCACGCAGGCTTACAACAAAACACCACAAACCCCAGCCACTAATACCCGACCACGACCTACGGGGCCATTGGATTGGCATTCTTATGTTTGGCCTTATGTGGGTCGCTATCGGGTGTGCTGTGGGACACATGCGTGGCGGAGACGACACAAGAACAACCGTGCCCACACTTGGGATCCGGCCAGTCAAGTACGTTTCCGCGAATTCGCTCGAGAGATACGTGCCTCGATCAACGTGATCACAGGCAATATGACGCCTTCCTAACAGGTTGCAGCACTGCAGCGTGGTCTGGGAGGACTCGCACGAACCATAGCCCAGAGAGATCCCCCCGCAGTCACCAACTTTGGCGTTAACATTGGTGGTCGTCATACACATGGTGTCACCTACATCATGTTCCTCTTTAGCGCGAAGTTTGAGAACTTAGAGGAGGAACGCCAACTTAACTCGGGAACGACTCTCATCGACTTTTGCGTCCATGCGGGAGAACGGATCGACCAGACACTAGCACGCTTCGAGATAGCCCGCTACGAGGCTGAAGCGGCAGGCTTTAACATTCCCAATTTCCAAATCCTAGCAGTTATCCTCCTGTTCAGAGCCTTAGAAATGGGGGGCGTCGCGTGCACAACAACTCCTACAGCCACTCAACCACCAAATGCCGAGGAATCAACAACAATTTGATGGTTTACTTGAACAAATGAGGTCATGTGCCCACATTGTTGAGCGAACCCCCGGCAATATAGGTGGTATCTTTAGCCGCGGTCACCGTGCCGAAACCTTTGATACTGACACCAATGCAGGGCAACCTGCTGCAAACGTCTGGAATGACGATCTGCAACCAACGGAGACCGCCACTCTACTAGCCCAAAATGGTGGTCCGCCTACGGGGCCGCAAGACTCTTGGACCAGATATCAGGGACCTTCGGCAACGGCGGCCCCTACTCAAGTCAGTGCCCTGGTAGGCTCAGCGGGGCAACCCGCCGAGTCTGACTTCGACTCTGGAACCGACGCCGACACGTCATCAGATGACGAAAGGACTGCCCTAGACTATTCCGACATGCCCACGTATTTTACGGAAGAACAGCAGGCTCAATGGATGTTTCTAGGATATCAGAGACATAAACGCAGATGAAGGCGGTTTACGAAGAAGCCAATTCGCAATGTACGACGTATTATCCGACGGGCACTCCGGGGGAAAAGGCGAAGGCCGAGGCAAGGGTTAGGGCAAAACGACGGCGACGGCGTGGCAGGGGTATGCCGGCATTCCTGGCATCCCTTACTGGACCACAGTATGAAGAATTATTCTTGGGCGCGGGCAGGGGCCGTAGGAACACCTGAGGAAAGGGCAGGGGGCGTCGGGGCAACCCGAGCGATGCGAGCGGCACAACCATCTTAGGTGACATCTGCCATAGTACACAACATTTCCGCCGTGAATGCCCCCGCGGCGATGGGGGAGGCAGGGGTCCGTCAATTCATTTGGCTCGAACCGATTCGGACATGCAGTCTGTCGATTGGGGGGCGCCATTTGCCGACCCTGCCGACACTCCTACCGCAGCTGTTAACTTCACGGCGGCCAGGTATCTAAGTGCCAGCACGTCCCTCGGGAGATGCGCCGATGAGCTCTTCGAGGAGATAGATGTTGGCCACGACGAGATTAACCTGGCAGACTAGCGAGGCATGCCCATCGCGGGGCAACCTGCACAGATCGAATTTGTTGGGGATTACCATATACCCGCCAACATAGATCATGATATGGCGGGGGCATCTGCGGATTCTGAAGCTACAATTCCAGCGACAGACGAGGACATACAGATGATGCTCAATCCTCAGGTCATTGGCAATCCGATGATCCTTTGCGAGGAAGCCCGCGAGGTGCTGACACTCTCAGAGCGCATGCAGTGAGAACTTGGGCACAATGAAGGTCATCATCTCACGTTCGCGGCTCATGGGCGGTCTCCGAGCCGCCATGAGCGATCAGCTAGTCGCCAATTCTGGAGACGTGCGAATCGCTCAGGTGATGACGAAGACGGGTGGGAATCTGAGGACCGACGTATGCAGCGTCGCGGTCGCGGCCACTCGCGCGGGCACTCGCGCGCGCGTTCCAGCGGCGCCCAGCGCCCCCATCTTCCTGACACGAGGGCCCCGACGACTCCGCCGAGGAGGGGGCGCTCGCGGGGCAACCCGCCTCAGAGGGAGGACCGCCCAGCTGCGCCCGAAGCAAGAGGCGTAAAACGCCTTGTCAGCATGGCGACCGCGGGCTGGCTCGCCAGTATATACCTCCCAAAGCGATGCGGCGCTGGCTCGATCGAGGCTGGGCCGAGCATGACATTCGCCACTGGTATTCACCTCGCAATGTTGAGCAGAATGACGAAGGCAAGATCGTCCGCACCAACAGAGGCAAGGGCACCAAGACGCCAGCTAACCTTCAAAGACGGGACCTCAAGAGGGCCGTCATCAGCGACCGGAAGACCTACCGGTGCATCGTCTGTCCTTGCGAACGTTTTGCCGACCACAGATCTATGTGTCCGATGAGGCGCCCATCAAGGAGTCCTAACTTCGGAAGAACCCCATGGGTCTGGTCTCGCGGAGATGGCCCGGGTCGCAGAGTGGATCCGACAAATCATCCACTTGCATAATGTTTGACTGAAGCTGACGACCAGCCGATTGATAAGAAAATGATCAATCGGGCCGATCGAATCTGACAGCACCTCGATGCGAATCACCGCCTCAAAGCATACAGTCGAGAACATCATGGAACAGGTGATGCGAGACGTGCGGGGCAACCCGCTTCTTCTTCTCATGAAGGTGCTGCCCATCCAGGAGGTGATGATGGGGCAGGTCGTGAGGTTCTTGCCGAAGCAGTGGACCCTGCTGAGGCCGCCCCTTCCGGGTCCGACCCAGAGTCTGAATCTGGCTATTCCGAATCGGCCTAGAGTTCTGGGGCGGAAGATACCCACGAGACTATCGGAAAAAATGAATGATTATGACATGATAACAGAAGATGCGGATCTCACTCCAGGCAGGAACGTCGCCTACCATTGCAAACAGATAGGCTGGACAACTACCCCTGCTGTAGAAAGGGCGAGCGTTGATAGATGCGATCTTGGTTGCGTGCGCGGACCCAATGTCAAGAACATGGCACTCCGGAGGCCGAGTCCGCCGACTGTTCCTGGCGCTGGGGAACCTGCAGCGCAACCTGCAGCGGGGGCACCCGCAGCGGAACAGCCGGAAGAACCGCCCCCCAAGATGAAGCCAGGGAGGAAGGTGGATACATCCCAATATCTTTCTTACTCTGCAAGCTCGCACAGGTCACGCGAGCCCGACCAGCTACCGCCACCGCCTTATATGCAGAAGAAGAGGACCAGTCCAGATGACCCCGATCCTGGCAGCATTGAATCGCAGCGATCTGCGGGGAAACCCGCCGAGAGACGTCGCTCCGGAGGACCGGCAGCGGCCGCTGCAGCAGCTGCGTTTCAAGGCGACAGCACGCCTACGCCGAAAGATCCTGCATGCCTGCGCGGCCCGACGCCTGGCAGGATTCGCATATCAAGCTGGGCGCCATCACTGGATGGGCCATCCAAGAGAGCCTGATCATCAAAGGACGGTGCGAATTGTAAGGCGTTGGGAACTACCTCGAAGGCATCAGGCGCGGCCCCCGCGATCACCCCATGCCAGTGTTTCGACGTCCGCGAGAAGGATAAGGCGAGGAGGACCTCTTGGGATATTATCCAGCTGCCTGCGGCATGTCCCGACACGGTGCCAGTCCAGCATGCTCGGTGGCGATTGTCCGAGAGGGCATCGGAGGCATCTTCGATGTTCGTTGGGATATTTCTCGCGAGAGGCCTCTCGGGGGCCTGCTGGAGGCAGTTTTGAAGCCTCTTGGAGGCTGTTTGGGGTCTCTTGGGGGCCCCATCGGAGTCCTCTTAGGACTTTTCGGGGGCTTCTCGGGGCCTCCGGGGGGCCTCTTCTGGCACAGGGCCGTTTTGTGGCCCTCTTGGGCCGTCTTGGGGCGCCTCTCGGGACATCTTGGGGCGCTCTTGGGGGCCCCTGGAGCCGTCTTGGAGCGTCGGAAGCTCGAAAAGGCGACAACGTGAAACACAGTCAATAACACAATGGAAATCAATGATTTATGCTTCTCGGGGCCCTCTTGGGGGTCCTCTTGGAGCGCTCTTGGGGCCTCTGTGGGCCTCTTGGGCCGTCTCGGAGGCATCTTGGGCCATCCTGGCGGCTCTGGTGGCCTCCCAGGTCCGTCTTGGAAGCCACCTTGGGTATCCTGGGCGCCTGGGAGAGCGCCTGGGACTTGCCTGGGCGCCGGCGCAGCCGCGAGAAGAGGGGGCGCGCCATGCAGATGGGCGCTGCCAGGAGAGGGGGGCCCTTAGAAAACAACAGAAAACCTACCAGACAGCACTTGGCAGTTTACCGCGCCTCAACGTGCCAGGGGGCACGGTGGCGCATTTGAGCCTCTTGGGGGCCTTTCGAGAGCCTCTTGAGGCCCTCCGCGGTTTTCTGCGGGGGGGTCCTCCTGAGACGTCTTGGAAGCCTCTTGGAGCCGTCTTGGAAGCGTCTTGGGAGCCTTTTGAGCCATCTTGGCGGTTTCGCGGGAGCCTCTTGAGCCGTCTTGCAGCATCGGAAGTCGAAATTACGCTACCGAGGAACCCCACATACTTATATTTGGGTTGGGGTGATGATAGCTGAAGTGAAGCATGTGAGAATGATGTTGGTGCCCGTTGCCCCGCCGATACCGCAAGGACGACCGTCACGGATAGCGGCCGCGCTCAGGGACCACCCCGTGCGCACCCCCTGTGGTGTCGAGAAAACGCCACGCCTGCTGTGCTTTGGACGACCGTCACGGATAGCGGCCGCGCTCAGGGACCACCCCGTGCGCACCCCCTGTGGTGTAGAGAAAACGCGACGCCTGCTGTGCCCTGGACGACCGTCGCGGATAGCGGCCGCGCTCAGGGACCACCCCGTGCGCACCCCTGTGGTGTCGAGAAAACGCCACGCCTGCTGTGCCCTGGACGACCGTCACGGATAGCGGCCGCGCTCAGGGACCACCCCGTGCGCACCCCCTGTGGTGTCGAGAAAACGCCACGCCTGCTGTGCCCTGGACGACCGTCACGGATAGCGGCCGCGCTCAGGGACCACCCCGTGCGCACCCCCTGTGGTGTCGAGAAAACGCCACGCCTGCTGTGCCCTGGACGACCGTCACGGATAGCGGCCGCGCTCAGGGACCACCCCGTGCGCACCCCCTGTGGTGTCGAGAAAACGCCACGCCTGCTGTGCCCTGGACGACCGTCACGGATAGCGGCCGCGCTCAGGGACCACCCCGTGCGCACCCCCTGTGGTGTCGAGAAAACGCCACGCCTGCTGTGCCCTGGACGACCGTCACGGATAGCGGCCGCGCTCAGGGACCACCCCGTGCGCACCCCCTGTGGTGTCGAGAAAACGCCACGCCTGCTGTGCCCTGGACGACCGTCACGGATAGCGGCCGCGCTCAGGGACCACCCCGTGCGCACCCCCTGTGGTGTCGAGAAAACGCCACGCCTGCTGTGCCCTGGACGACGGATAGCGTCACCACCCCGTGATAGCGGCCGCGACTCAGGGACCACATCTGTGTGTGGACGATCGTCACGGATAGCGGCCGCGCTCAGGGACCACCCCGTGCGCACTGTGGTGTCGAGAAAACGCCACGCCTGCTGTGCCCTGGACAACGCGGATAGCGGCCGCGCTCAGGGACCACCCCGTGCGCACCCCCTGTGGTGTCGAGAAAACGCCACGCCTGCTGTGCCCTCGTCACGGATAGCGGCCGCGCTCAGGGACCACCCCGTGCGCACTTCTTGTGGTGTCGAGAAAACGCCACGCCTGCTGTGCCCTGGACAACTGTTTCGGATAGCGGCCGCGCTCAGGGACCACCCCGTGCGCACCCCCTGTGGTGTTGAGAAAACGCCACGCCTGCTGTGCCCTGGACGACCGTCACGGATAGCGACCGCGCTCAAGGACCACCCCGTGCGCACCCCTTTGTGGTGTCGAGATAACGCCACGCCTGCTTTGCCCCGGACGACCGTCACGGATAGCGGCCGCGCTCAGGGACCACCCCGTGCGCACTTCTTTGTGGTGTCGAGAAAACGCCACGCCTGCTGTGCTTTGGACGACCGTCACGGATAGCGGCCGCGCTCAGGGACCACCCCGTGCGCACCCCCTGTGGTGTAGAGAAAAAGCATGCTGTGCCCTGGACGACTGTCACGGATAGCGGCCGCGCTCAGGGACCACCCCGTGCGCACCCCCTGTGGTGTCGAGAAACGCCACGCCTGCTGTGCCCTGGACGACCGTCACGGATAGCGGCCGCGCTCAGGGACCACCCCGTGCGCACTTCTTTGTGGTGTCGAGATAACGCCACGCCTGCTGTGCCCTGGACGACCGTCACGGATAGCGGCCGCGCTCAAGAACCACCCCGTGCGCACCCCTTGTGGTGCTGAGAAAACGCCACGCCTGCTATGCCCTAGACGACCGTCACGGATAGCGGCCGCGCTCAGGGACCACCCCGTGCGCACCCCTTTGTGGTGTCGAGATAACGCCACGCCTGCTGTGCCCTGGACGATCGTCACGGATAGCAGCCGCGCTCAGGGACCACCCCGTGCGCACCCCTTTGTGGTGTCGAGTAAGAGCCTCGCCTGCTAGGCCTTGCGACATTGGCGCGTATAGGGGCCTCGGTGAGAGACCACCCCCTGCACCTTCCCTCTGGTGTCGAGAAAGTGCCACGCCTGCTAGGCCCTGCGTGCTCTGCTGAGCTGTGTTGTGCCGAGTTGAGCTGTGCTGAGCTGAGCTGTGCTGTGCTGTGCTGTGCTGAGCTGTGTTGAGCTGTGCTGAGCTGTGCTGAGCAGTGCTGTGCTGTGCTGTGCTGTGCTGTGCTGTGCTGTGCTGTGCTGCGCTGTGTGAGAAAGAGTAGAGGGAGGTGAGTGAGTGAGCGCGGGTGGGACGCGGCGGAAAAGAAAACCATAACCCCACTAAGCATGTGGGGAAAAACATAACTGCGGCGTTGGCCCTGTTGGAGGGGCTCATGGAAACCTCTTGCGGCGTCGGGGGGACGTTTCCGGCCGTTTGGAGCTTCAGCGTCCGGGAGCGATGTTTGGAAGATTCTGGGCGCTTGGGGATCTTTTGTGCAATTTTCTGGAATCTCCCTGGAATTTGCGAGATTTTTTGAATTTTTGCAATTTTGTTGAATTTCTGGAATCTCTGGCATTCTGTTGAAAACCAGCAATTCCAAAAATCCCAGAAATTCCAGAAATTCCAGCAATTATTTGGAAATCCAGAAATTCCAGAAATTTTCGGAAATCCAGAAATGCCAGAATTTCTCCACAATAGCGGCCCGGCTGTGGCTTGCATTGCAAAGATGAATATAGACGAACACGTGCGACTATACGCAATTGCATGCCTCTGGACACTGCTAGGTACAACGATATACGATTACGTCCGAGCGCCGCGATGTTAGCTTGGAGTCTACACGGGGGATCTTGCCCTCGAGCATCCCCATCCAGCGTTTCTCCAAGACCGATTGCGATGCTTCTCCTCCCCCAGCTTTCCACCGCGTTGCTCCCTCGTGTCCTCCTCCTCCTCCTCCTCCTCCTCCTCCTCCTCCTCCTCCTGCTACGGATCACAGCGCGGCGATCCCAAGGACACGGAGACGGGAACGCAAGGGCCAAGCTCTCACGCGCCCGCTCACCCCTCGCAGGCCGGGGCGGGCGGACGTCCGCGAGTAGCTCCACGACCAAGACCACCACTTCGGTGACCTCCACGCTGACCTCCACGACAGAATCGAGCACTACCACGCTCACTTCAACCACGCCGACGAGCTTCACCGAGACCAGCAGCACCAGTCTAACTACCACGTCCGAGACCAGCACCGTCACGATCACGAGCACGACTGCCAGCAGCACCACTTCAGTCACAATCACTTCCTCGCTCACAAGTACCACCATGAGCAGCAGCACCACGGTATCCATCACAAGCTCGCTCACAAGCACCTCTGCCAGCAGCACCACTACGTTGAGTTCCACGACAGACTCCAGCTCAACCACTCTGACAAGCACCTCTGCCAGTAGCAGCACTGGAAGTAGCACGACTTCGCTGAGCTCCACAACTGAGACCACTTCTGGTACCAGCAGCACTTCACTGAGCTCGACGACAGAATCCAGCACCATAACTCTTACGAGCACCAGCGTCACCAGTAGCACTGGAAGTAGCACGACTTCGCTGAGCTCCACAACTGAAACCACTTCTGGTACCAGTAGCACTTCACTAAGCTCGACGACAGAATCCAGCACCATAACTCTTACGAGCACCAGCGTCAGCAGTAGCACTGGAAGTAGCACAACTTCGCTGAGCTCGACGACAGAATCCAGCACCACAACTCATACGAGCACAAGCGCCAGCAGCAGCACGACGTTGAGCTCCACAACTGAGACCACTTCTGGCACCAGCAGCACCACCTTGAGTTCCAGAACTGACTCCAGCACCACCACTCGCACGAGCACCAGCGCCAGCAGCAGCACAACGATGAGCTCGACGACTGACACCAGTTCTGGCACGAGCAGCACCTCGCTGAGTTCCACTACCGACTCCAGCACCACCACTCGCACGAGCACCAGCGCCAGCAGCAGCACAACGATGAGTTCGACGACTGACACCAGTTCTGGCACGAGCAGCACCTCGCTGAGTTCCACTACCGACTCCAGCACCAGCTCGCATACAAGCACCAGTGCCAGCAGTAGCACGACGTTGTCCTCAACGACCGACAGCAGCACCGCAACTAGCACCACCACGCTGAGCTCCACAACAGAAAGCAGCACGAGCACGTTGTCAAGCACCACTGCCTCCAGCACTACGTCGCTGAGCTCTACAACTGGCACCAGCACTGCCACAAGCACCACCTCGCTCAGCTCCGCGACAGAGACGTCGAGCACGACTGTCACGAGCACCACCTCATTCAGCTCCACGACCGAAACCAGCTCGGGAACCAGCACCACCACTCTGACCTCCACGACAGAAACCAGCAGCACCGCGTCCCTTACGAGCACCACCACAAAGACAACAACGAGAAGTAGCACGAGCACGTGGTCAAGCACCACGGCCACCAGCACGACGTCGCTGAGTTCTACGACCGGCACCAGCACTGCCACAAGCACTACCACGCTGAGCTCCATAACAGAAAGCAGCACGAGCACGTTGACAAGCACCACTGCCTCCAGCACTACGTCGCTGAGCTCTACAACTAGCACCAGCACTGCCACAAGCACCACCTCGCTCAGCTCCGTGACAGAGACCTCGAGCACGACTGCCACTAGCACCAGCTCACTCAGCTCCACGACCGAAACCAGCTCGGGAACCAGCACGACCTCGCTGACCTCCACGACCTTCACCAGCTCCGGCACTAGCACGACCACCCTGACCTCAGCGACCGGCACCAGCACCGCCACCAGTACCACCACCGTGAGTACGTCCGAGACCAGCAGTACCACGCGCACCGAGACCACGACGGGCACCAGCAGCACCACCAGGAGCACCAGCGACACCACCACCACCATCGTGAGCACCAGCGAGACCAGCAGCACCACCCTTAGCACGACAGAGACAACCACACCCCATACCACCACTGCGACTACCAAGTCATCGACGACCCTCACCTCGACGTCTGCCACCTCGTCGACCCTCACCAGCACCACAGAGACCAGCAGCACAGAGTCCAGCAGCACCACTCCGCACACAACCACCATCACATCGATTAGCCTGACCGAGACGAGCGCGACGATGACACTCACCAGCACAACGTGGACAAGCACCTTGACCAGCACCACAGTCACCAGCAGCTCGGCCACAAGCACCTTCACAGTCAGCAGCACCTCGGGCACCACAGCCAGCGGCACCTCCACAGTGACCACCTCCTCGAAGACCTCGACGACGACCACAACAGACACCTCCACCACCACGATCACCACGAGCGCCACCTCGACAACGACGATCTCGGCCACGAGCTCTTACACCTCCAGCACTACGATCAGCACCAGCGCAACCTCATCAACGACCATCTCGACCACCACCACTACGACCACGACCACCACCACAACCACAACAGAGGAGACCTACCTGGTGTCTGGAGCGGTGTCGTTCCAGGTGAGCAGCGACGCTGGCTTGGCCGCGGGCCAGGTGGAGTCGGCGACCTTGGCTGCGCTGCCAGGAGTGCTGGGTGGCGAGGCTATGCAGTACCAGATTGCTGATGCCTTGTATGCCCTGAGCACGAATTACACTTACTCCGTGACGAGAAGACTGAGCAATGACAGCAATGCCAGCAATGGCAGCAACGGCACCACGGCGGTGGCGACGGCAAGCATCATCTGGACGGTGGAATATGGCATGGAGCTGTACAGAACAGTCATGGAGGCCGCGGTGATCACCTCAGCTGAACTGGCGGCAAATAGCACTGCTTTCCTGGTCGAGCTGTCAGATCAGCTGATGACGGTGGCGAACTTGAGCAGCGATGCCGTCGGGTCCCTCGAGGTTGTTTATTTCGGCACCGTGAGCTCGATACTCATCACGAAGACTGAGACGAGCACAGGCACCACGTCGAGTTTCTCGAGCACGACTTCGAAGACAGCCACGTCAATCACAGCCACGTCGGCGACCACGACCACAACAACGGTCGACCCGCTACAGCTGCTGGAAGCTGAGCTTACTTGGGCATATACTACGTTCGTGATGAGATTCAACGCCGGCGTAGTGTTCCCCAACCCGACCTCTTCGGACACCACACGGTCGGGTGCTAAGGAGGAGGACGAGAGCGAGGACGAGGGAGGAGGAGGAGGAGGAGGAAAGCCTTCTCAGAAGGTTCGGACGCCCCCCGGACTTCCGAGAAGTTATCTAAGCCTTCCCCGAGGACAGAAAGAGCTTCTCAGAAGTCGCGAGGGCTTCGGAGAAGTCCCGCCGTCTCCTGAGAAGGCTGCTCCTTCTCGTTTCCCCCCTTCGCTCGCCGCCGACCAGAGCTCTCGACGCCGTCGTCTGCACGAGCCCCTCGCTCTGGGTTCCTTGTTTTTTTCGGCTGGGGTCGCTGACGGCGCCGCAGACCTCGCACTCGCGAAAAAGCGGTTGTCTTGATCGGTGTGTGCGACGCTTGAAGAAGGTGCAGGTCGCCAGTCGGCGGCGGACGACCGGGGGAAGCGAGAAGGAGAAGGCCTTCTCGGAAGGCGGCGGGATCTCTCCGCAGCCCTCGCGCACTCCGAGAAGTCCCTCTCTTGTCTTCGGGGGAGGCTTGGAAAGCTTCTCCAGAGGCCGGAGGACTCCCGAGACTCTTGAGAACGCCGCCCCTTCTCCACTTCCCCCCCTGGGGCTCGCCGCCAAGCCGGCTCTCCTGCAGGGGCTCGAAGGCAGCCGCGCATCGCGACCCGGACCGGAGGCTCTCGGAGGCTTTGCAAAAAAACCTTCGAAGGATTGCAAAAAAAAGGATTGCAAAAAAAAAGGATTGCAAAAAAAAAGGATTGCAAAAACCGTTTTTTTTGCAATCCTTCGCTCTCGGAGGCTTTGCAAAAAAACCTTCGGGTTTTTTTGCAATCCTTCGAGAGGAGGACCAGAAAGGTACAGAAAGACCCGGCCGACCCCTGGAAGAGCTGCCCTTCTCCAGGGGGGACGGGCCGGACGGGACCAGGAAAAGGGCAGATCCGTTCCACATAGTCAGAGCGCTCCAGAAGTCTCTGAGAAGGCCGCGGCTCCCGAGACATTCTCCAGAGCCGCCAGATCTGAGAGATTCTCGATTCCTCTCGCTTCGCGGGGTGCACGTCCAGAGCACGTACAGTCACGTCGTCGCGGGGCCTCCTGGGAGCCTCTTGGGGGCCTGGGAGTTTCTTTGGGCCTCTTGGGGACTTCTTTGGGGCCTTTCCCCCCTCCGTCCTTTTCATACACCCTCCCCATTTTACCTTTCCAGCGCCGGCTCTAATCATGGGCGCCGCAGTGACCAACTTCCACCTGGCTGGCGCTGCGCCGCAGTTCGCCCAGAGGGGGGAAAATAACATTACACTCCAGTCGCTGTGTGGCCTTTGGGTTTTTTTTTGGGGGGCCTTTTTTTGAGGCTTCTAGGTGACTTTTTGGGGGCCTCTTGGGTCCTCTTGGGGGCGTCTTGGGCCGTCTTGGGGCGCTTTTGCGCCGTTTCGCCCCCTCGGAGGCTGTCTTTGGGGGCCTCTCGCGGCCGCATTGGAGCCCTCTTGGGGTCCTCTTGGGCCGTTTTCGCGGCCTCTTGGACCGTCTTGGGGGCCTCTTTGGGCCGTTTTGGGGCCCTCTTGGGCCGTCTTGGGGCCCTCTTGGGTTTTTTTTGGGTTGTTCTGGGGCGATTATGGAAGCTGCTTGGGCCGTCATGGATTTTTGAGGATCGAAAAAAGCGAGAACGCTAAGATACTGCAGAAACCATAGGACAATCAATGATTTCGGCCTCTGGAGGCGCAGTTGTGGGCGCTCTTGGGGCCCTCTTGGGCCGTCCTCGGGGCGTCGGGGGACCTCTTGGGGCCGTCTTGGGGGCCTCATGGGCCCCCGTTGGGGATATCTTGGGCCGTCTTGGAGCCGTCTTGGGCCGTCTTGGGGCCATCTTGGGCCATCTTGAGGCCCTCTTGGGGCCCCAAGAGGCCCAAGTGGCCGAATGTGTTGATTTGTTCATAGGTTTCTGTACGTTTTTAAGGCCCCAGAAGGGGGCGATCAGTTTGGTACGGCGCTGTGGCGCGGCTCCCAGGGGGGTTAGGGGGGAGACATGATAACGCATTACAATACAATTTGTTGCAATTATGGAATCTTTGGATACATAGGATACGTTGCAGTAAGGCGTTCGCCGAAAAACGCTGCCGCTCAGCACGTCACTTCCGGACGTGGATTCCTCTCGCTTCGCAGGGTGCACGTCCGGAGCACGTACAGTCACGTCGTCGCGGAGCCTCTTGGGAGCCTCTTGGGGGCCTCCTGGGAGTTTCCTTGGGCCTCTTGGGGGCTTCTTTGGGGCCTCTACCCCCTGCCTCCTTTTCATACTCCCTCCCCATATTTCCTTCCAGCGCCGGCTCTAATCATGGGCGCCGCTGCGACCAACTTCCACCTGGCTGGCGCTGCGCCGCAGTTCGCCCAGGTTGGAAAAATGACATTGCACTCCAGTCGCTGTGTGGCCTTTGGGGGGCTTCTTTGGAGCCTTTTGGAGGCTTCTTGAAGACATCTTGGAGGCCTCTTGGGGGCTTTTTGGGACCCATTGGGGGCTTCTTGGGGGCCTCTTGGGGCCTCTTGGGGGCGTCTTTGGCCGTATTGGGGCGCTTCGGCGCCGTTTCGCCCCTTCGGAGGCCGTCTTGGGGGCCTCTCGCGGCCTCCTTGGGGCCGTCTTGGGGTCCTCTTGGGCCGTCATAGGGGCCTCTTGGACCGTTTTGGGTGCCTCTTTGGGTCGTCTTGGGGTTCTGTTGGGCCGTATTTGGGTCATCTTGGGGGCTTCTTGGGTTTTGGCCTCTGGAGGCGCAGTTGTGGGCGCTCTTGGGGCCCTCTTGGGCTGTCATTGGGTTTTTTGGTGCCCTCTTGGGGCCATCTTGGACCGTCTCGGGGCCGTCTTGGCCCGCACAGAGCCCGTTTTGAGCCGTTTTGGCGCTCTCTTGGCCCCCCAAGAGGCCCAAGAGGTCGAAATCATAGATTTTCTATAGGTTTTGGTAGGTTTTTGAGCCCCGGAAGGGGGGGGGGGCACTTTGGTCTGGCGGTGTGGCGCAGCTCCCAGGGGGGGGGGGGGTAGGGGGGGAGACATAAAAATGTAACATAACACAATATGCATCAATTATGCAATCATTGGATACATTGGACACGTTGCGTTAAGGCGTTCGCCGAAAAACGCTGCCGCTCAGCACGTCACCTCTGGACGTCCGACCCCTTGGGGGGCCAGGTCTCTCGGGGGCCTCCTGGCAGCACTTTGGAGGCCTTTTGAGAGCCGTTTTGACGCCTCTTGGGGCCTCTGGTGGGCCTCTTAGAGCCTCTTGGGGGCTTCTTGGGGGCCTTATCATCGCCCGATGTCATCTTTGTCATGGGCTCGTCTTGCAGGGTGGGCCCGCGCGAGAGCACGATGCCGGGCGCGCCTCCGCCAGTCGCGGGTGCGGAAGCGCAAAGTTGGGCGTCCTGGGCCTCCCGGAGGCCTCCTGGAGGCCCCAGGAAGAGCCAAGAACGTCCACAACGAGGGTGCCCCTCCTTACTGGCGTTCCTCCTCCTCCTCCTCCTCCTCCTCCTTTTCTTGCCGCCGCCTTGGAGCCCCGGGCCGCAACATCCAGAGCAGCATCATCAGTCCAAATTAATCAACCTGCACGGAATCCTGCGCTTCAAAACCCTAGGGAGGAATCGCCAAGTTCTCGGTGGTTTTCTTACCGTGGGCCCCTATAGGGGCTTCGACGACGCAGGGAACCCTTTGAAGCTGCCTCGCGCCGCGAGCACCGCACTGGAGACAGGCGACAATGGGGCGGGTGGCCTCCAGCTGCGGCGACTCCACCTCGAAGGAAACAAAACTACGCCTTTTCTCTACGCTCTCTCTCTCTCTCTCTCTCTCTGGTGTGGCGGCTGGCGTCCGCTGCGCGACTCGCTATCGATCCTCCGCAGATCGGCGAGGCAGGGCCTAGGCAGGGGCCACGGCCCCGCATCGGGAGTACCGCGGACGAAAGAGAAACCCAGAAAATCATGCACTAGAGAGGATGCACAACCTGGACAGCGGTGGGAGCACGCAGGTGCGGGCGCGTACGCACATGCGTCATGTCGCGCGCGTCCACGTGCTGCCCCACTTCCCCGAGCCGATGCCCCGCCTGCTCAACAAGCTGCTGCTGCGCGCGCGATCCATTGCGCTGCGCAGCACTCGTGCGACAACGTCGACCAGCGAATTTGGCCCAGAAGTCGGCGCGGGTGTGGCCAAACCTGTCGCGACGAGGAATCACCCCTCGATCAGCATCACTCATGCTGCAGTGGGCCTTGTGATCTTACCAAGCGCCAGGCCTGCCTCTGAGAGGCCTCCGAAGTCCTCTCGGAGGCGCCAGACTCTGGCCACAGGGAAGCCCAAGCAGCCTTGCGCGACGCGGTGCCAGTGCGACCGCGCACTCTGACGTTTAAAAACGCAGAGTCCGAATCAGTGACTGCACAAATGTGAGGCACCGACGCTCGCAGAAGGAAAGCCAGGGCCGCGAGCTCGGCGCCGCAAATAATTATCGAACGCCTTATGTGTGCACGTACAGTAGACAACGTCCTGGACTCCGTTCGGCCCGTCTGGGCAGAGGGCGACGATGGCCCAGGCCGTGCATTCCTGCCCCCGCTGGGCTTCGTGCGCAGAACAGCCCAGGACAGAGCTCCCTTGGCAGCTAGAATACCCAGGCCTCCATGCTTTCGCCGCCCCACTTGGCCCTGGTCGGGGGGCGCCAGTCGGGTCCAGGAACGGGCCAGAGGGAACGCTCAAGGAGAAGGCGAACCCCAGAACGGTCCTGGGCCAGAGCCAACAGCTGGACCGCACCGGGGCATGGCACTACCCTTCCTGGCCACACTCGCAATCGAAATGACGCTGCAGCAGCGTGCCTGGCTTGCGGCAAGCAAGGCATTCATTGGATAGTGTTATATTCGAAGCACGCTTCTGCGCCATCGTCTACTGACCGCTGAGATCTCTGCGCCACCGCGCGGGACTCGTCTCTCTAGAGAGAGTTCTTCGCGATCATCACAGCGTACTTCGTACTTGCTTGAGCAGTGACCCGTGCCAAGGGGACTGTTGACCAGTACTGTCTTCTTTTCGTCGTGGACCACGCGCCGTTTCACCGGCAAGATCAAAGACGAAGAGCGGCTCCCACATCTATGACGGCACAGTGAACAATTTCCATGAATGGGAACTCCGCACAGAGATGCGCATGAGCGTTGCCCTGGCCGGCGTTGATCCTGCAACGGGAGAGCCACGGCCCCGCGCTGTCGCGGCAGCCGTCAGCAAGGTGATAGAGGGCCTCAGAGTCGACGCGTTCGACATGGCCATGGACATCGGCAAGGGCGCGTTTTTGATTTAGACGTGCGTCGATGTGCTGATACAGTCCTCTTCCAATTGGGACAGAGACCCTGCGGGCCAATGCCCCGACAGAGCGGTGAGTCTATGCTCTCGTACATATTTTGCAGGAAGCGATGGCGGAAGCTTGTCTCTAAACTCGATCCGAACCTCCTGATGAGTGACGACATGATTGGATCTCTTCTCTTGGACCATGCAGGATTTTCGCCTTCGGAGAACTCGATGGCACTGGCATCAACGGGCAATGTGACCAACTTGGACTAGAACGAGGACGTCTTGATCCTCCAGGAGACTCGGGCAAGAGCTCCACCTTCGCTCGTCGGACGCCCCGGCACCCTAGCAAGGGCAAGGGCGAGGCCAGGTGCTCTAGGCCACCGCGCTCGCACCGCGCTGCTGACCACAACTGGCGCGAGCAGGAGAAGCACTACACCGGGGAGTTGATTCCCTACGGTTACTGCTCGTCCGGTTTGACGCGCGAGCATGGCTGGGACGACGAATCTTGGTGGACAGACACTCGGGCAGATGACCAAGCCTGGGGCGGCGGCCCTCCACCGAGCCCGGGCTGGCGGCGCCCATCGCGCTCACTGGACATCTACACTGCGCGGGGGGGAACATGACTCCGACGCAATGGAGGAAATGGTCAGTCACGGCCGCGCGGAAGAAGAGGCTTTCGAGATGATCCAGCCACGCGGAGACGACTTGTTAGCCAACCTTGGCGCCGAAGGCAGGGGCAAGAGCGGGGGCAACATCGCCCGAGGGCGGCGGCGAGGGATCACCGACATTGGAAGAGCGCAAGGCTCGCCTCCGGGAAATGAAGAAACGATCGAGGCGCAAAACCGGCAGCGAGATTGGCCACTGGCACGGGGGCCCCGAGTGCAAGGGCACACCCAAGACTCAATGATTGCGCACGCCGGCGCAGCGACCGCTCCCGTTGCGCGAGGACGGCGACGACGAACAGTTCGCGCCCGCAGGATCTGTCGCGGCATCACTCGCCATTCGCCATCATCACCACGACACCAGTAACGCACCACACGCCGCAACCTCCTTTTGCTCTTCCTTCTCTTCGCCCGTCGCGCATTGTCGCAGAGCGTGTTTGAGTGAGGGAGAGAAGCGCAGAATGCAGTGTTTTTTGATGAAGGGACGCGCGGAGCATGTGTTCGAGAACTGCTTCGAGGACGCCCTGCCGCCCAGAGTTATTCTGGCTTGCAGCCCCGACCGCGAGCGCGCGGCCGCAGCTCGGGGCGCCGCCCAGACCTCGTCGAAGGCTGGCAAGGCTGGCGATGAGCTTCGCACGCGCGCGGCTCTTCGCATGCCCCCCCCTGTGCTTGGCCCAGATCTTCCAGCAGACACAGCGGGAGTTCGCTCGGGTCGTCGACGCCCGCTTCGCGGCCGCGGGCGGCCGCCTGGGAGCCATGGGCGAGGAGATGCGCAATTTTGGTCGTCTGCGCCAAGAGATGGATGAACTTCGCGCGGAGATGGGCGCGGCGGCCGCTCCACTGGCAGCGCCCCCGCAGCAGGAGACTGGCTGGTCTCGCCCCGTCGACGACGCCATCCTTTCCGTCGTGGCGCGAGCCAAAGTGCCCGAGCAGGCGGTGTCCCAGGCGCTAGGGCCGCCCCTGGTCGACGCTGAGCTCCGCAACCTCCCGGGCGCGGCGACGGAGCTGGAGGGCGAGGACATGGGTCGCCACTGCACGCTCCGCTGCGTGGGCGCTGCGGGCCTGGCCGCTCGGCGGACCGGCAAGCTCTTGGGCCTGTGGCGCGCTGGACCGCCCGCGTGGATCGAGTTCGCTGCGATCCGCCCGAACGGCGGGGGGGGCCTCTCAGCGTCGGCCGCGAGCGCAACCAGTGCCAGATCTCCCACGAGATCTTCCTCAAGCGCATCAATGACGCCCCCCGGGAGGTCATCGCGGAGAAGCTCTTCGTCAACAAGGAGGCCTTCGTGCCCGCGGTCAATCAAGTGATGTCAGCTGCTCGAGCTCACGATCACGGGCCCTGGCGCTACGCCCGCTGTCTCGTGGAACATGGCGGCGGTGCGCGCGATCAACCAGACGCAGGGGGCCCTGCGAGCCGTGGCTGACTGCGTCTCGGCGCCCGAGGTGCAACAGTGGACTCTTTGACGCCCTCTCTCGAGCCTGGGGAGGCGACGGAGATGTTGTGCATCTGGGGACTCCGAACTGCAAAGCTCCCAAGCAGTCTGGGTGGAACGCCATGAAGAACATCCAACGCAAGCTCAACTACACCCAGCGATCTTGAAGGGTCCAATGCTGCTGGCGCCGCGGGGGATTCACGCGTCCAAGTGCAGCTTGGAAGCGCCCCTGGAGCGAGCGGGGAAACCGCGCCGCGTCTTCTCCCCCCGCCTGGCAGGAGGTCGAGAAGATGCTGGTGGGGCAGCCACGGTGGTGCCTGAAACGGCAGGCGGCTACACCTGCGATTGTGTCTCTGAGGAGCTTGTCCCTGGACGGGGTCTTAGGCTCCATGGAATTGTTCGTCCTGCGGCTCATGAGAGACAGCCGTGCGCTTCGTTCACTGGAACACTTGCAATCGTGATATTTCACCCGATCAACGGCGCCGAGTGGCAGGCCGCATCCGCGCGGACCTGGCCTGGGCTCCCAGAGACCCACCGCCCTCTCCACCTTCGTCGCCACGTGTCAGCGTCTACGACGAATTCGACAATTTCATCCAGGGCGACCAGCAGCTGCGGCCGCCTACCCCGCCTCCTGGGCCTCCTGGCGCTGGCGGCCGCCCTGCCATTCGGAGGTGTTTGGTTTGAAAACACGTCCGGGTTTCAAGGGGGCCCCGTGCCCGCTTGCAGGGCCGGGGCGGGGGCCTCTTCGAGCCAGGCAGCGCGACTCGCTCGCCGCCCTGGCCAGAGGCTGCGGCTCGAGGCGCCGCGGGCGGCCGCCGAGCTGACGCCCGGCACGCCGACGCACTGGGGCGCCAGCACGCGCGCCAGCTTCTCCATCAAACGCGCGTTCGCGGGGATCCCGGGCAGCTGCGCCAAGGCCGGCATGTCTGCCGCGCGCGAGGGGGGGCGCGCGAGCTCCACGTCCGCGGGATCAGCGACCACGCCATGGTCGTTGCACCGCTGCTTCGTTGCCAGCGTGCCGTGCGACACCCTGACGCGCCGTCTGCGATCCCCATCGACGCGGTCCAGCGGCCGCGTTTCGAGGAGATCGTCGACAGCTGCCCGGAGATGGTGCCCCTTCGCCACCAGGCCCTACCCGACGAGCGCATGCGCTTCGCAAGGATTCAGCAGGCGGCCGCCAAGAACGTCCAGAACGAGCTCCTCGCGGCGGAGGGCTGGACCGTAGGCGCCTCGGCCATCATCTGGCGTCAGCTGTCCCGCGCCTACTGGCGCCGGGACTGGCGCCTGGCCACGCTGGTAGTGGCCCAGAATGCCTGGGCGCGCGAGCTCGTCGCGGTCTCGGCGCAGGCTCGCTCGGTTGAGATCGCCAACTTCGAAAAAATCCAGCGGCGCCACGACGTCGCCCGGCGGAAGGAAGCCGACGGCAAATGCCGCCGCCTCGAGGAGGCGGCCCAGCAGGAGACGGGGGAGAGCCGCCGTCGCCATGTCGTGGCCCAGCAGCGGGCCCTGCGACGGGGGGCGAAGCGCTGGGAACCCCCTTCAACGCGGGGCGCTACCTCGCGCGCCTCGAGGTGGACGGCGACGACCTCGCCGAGTCGGCCGCCATCGCTTCGGCGCTCGGCCAGCGCTGGGGCAGGGCGTTTTGCCCGCCACTGCCGCTCGAGGTCAGCGAGCGGCGGGCCCGAGCGCAACCGGTGTACCTGGAGCGCTTCGGGGCTCCCACCGTCGACTGGGACGTCATCGCGCCGGCCGCCCTGAAAGACGGCGAGCGAGGCGCTGCGCCGCGCGCGCCCTGCGGCCCCTAGCCCTGATGGCCTGCCCGCGGCCGCTTGGGCAGCGGCCTCTGACGACGCCGCGACTCTCCGCCGTGCGATGATGTGGGTGCTGGGCGGGAGGCCGACGCGCATGGACTACAACCACGCGATCGGCGTCTGCCTGCCGAAGGGCCCGCTCGCGGCCGACCGCGCGAGCGCCTCGCGCGCCCCCGGGGGGCGCGCGCCCGCCGGCTCTTCGCAGCGCGGGGGCCAAGGCAAGCAGCGCTGCCATCGAGCACCCGCTGAAACGCGCGGTGCAGGTGGCGGTCGCCCCTCACCAAGGTTTCATCTGCGCGAGGCATTGTCTCGAACCTCTGCTTGAGCTCGACAGCTTCGCTCGCATTTCGGGCCTTCAAGCTCTGAGCCGTCCCTCTACCGATCTTGCCTCTCCTCTGCTGTTCGCTTTTGATTGCGCCCGCGCCTTCCCCTCTGTTGCTCACTCCTGGCTCTGGTCTGCTCTCGCCGCCTGGAGTGCCCCGGATGCCCTGATCGATGCCATCCGCGCCAACTATTTCTCGGCCTCGGCGATGAGCTCTGGTTGCCCTCGCACTCTCCTCTTCCCCGTCCTCTCAGGGGTCCTCCAGGGGGGCCCTCTCTCAGGTAGCCTCTGCGCGCTAGCCGCGCGCCCATTCTGCGCAGACATGGAGCGAGCAGCTGGGTCCGCAGGTAAGGGCGTTGGGCGGTGGTGCGCGGACGACGCGGAGGCGGCTGTCTGCGGAAAGCCTGGCTTCGAAGTGCTCACTCGGATTTTCAAGAGTTCCGAAAATCTCGCGGGGCTAGCTTTAACACCATCGAGATACTGTGCCGTTCCTTTTTCATCCCCGTGGGATGACTTCGTTCGCTGCTCCGACGCTGAGCTGTTCACTTTTTGTTTTCTTCTCATGGTCTGCTTGCTATAGTGGTCCCGCCATCGCTTATCTCGGTTGTGTAGTTGGCCCTGCTGCTGAGCTTGCGGAGCAGTGGCCAGAGCCAGCAGCGAAGCTCGAACACCGTATCGCCGCTCTGTCTCGCACCCGTGCTGATGCCGCTGTTGCCGTCGCTCTTTATCACGAACGGGCGATCAGCGTGCTTTCTGATAAATCAAAGTTATATGCCATTCCGAGATCCGCCCAGCGGCGAGAGAATGACCTGCTGACCCGTCTCTTTCGGGCTCCTGGTTCCTGGCTCTCGTCCTCCTTCTTCCTCGACGTTCCCTCGTTCGGCGGTCCCCAGGTCCAGGGAGTCAGGGGCACCGTTCTCGCCGCTAGGATAAGGACCGCTCTGACGCTCACGCCTTGCTATGCCCAAACGCGGGACCCACTTGAGGCCGCGACGCGGGACCTCGCCCAAGTCGGCCAGCTGCACTGGCGCGGCCCCAGCGGGGCCAAGGAACTTTGCCCGTGGCCCTCCTGCTGGCAGCCGCCGGCGGTGGCGTGGACCCCGAGGGAGGCGGCGGAGGCGCGTCTGAGTCTGGGCCCCGATCGGAGGATGATGATGAGGAGGAGGAGGAGGAGGAGGAGGAGGAGGAGGACGACGACGACGACGAGGAGGGTGGGATCAAGACTGCCCCAAGGACCTTGGCCTGGCCCCAGGAGGCCCCAGAGAGGCCCCGAAGAGGCCCCGAGTCTGGGCCTGATGGCCCTTGAGGCAGAGCGCCGTGCTGCGCGGGACCGCTCTGCGCCGCAGAGGGCGGAGCGATCTGGCGCTGCCGGTCGAGGCGGGCCCCGTCTGAAGGTCCAGCGGGCCCCGGTGCGCGGCATGCGTCCCGCCCTCTTACCTGTCTCCCCCTCCCTGACTCCAGACCCGCTCTATTTGTTTTTCCAACTTAGAAGTGTATCGGAAATCCATCTATAAGAAGCCGAGAAAGTAGGGCGGACATTTTTGCACCCAACATAAAATAGGGCGTAAATCCACAGAAGTGGGGCGGACACAGCAATAGAAAAGTAGGGCGGTGATTGGCATCAGCGGGGCTTGAAAAGCAAGGCGGAAATTCCAAGCCCTACTTACAAGTTTCCCCAAGAAGGAGGGCGGGTCCGGAGTCAGGGACGGGTCACTGACATGCCTGCTCGGTCCGCGATGGCCAGTCCCATTCTTATTCCCTCCCGTGGGCTTCTCCGGAATGCCGCCATGGCCTCCCGCTCCAGTCTCCCCGCTCCTCCTCCTCCTCCTCCTCCTCCTCCTCCTCCTCCTCCTCCTCCTGATCGCCTTGCTTTCATGGATTGCTCGCTCGCTCGTCTGCGTCCGTCGGTCATTCTTCCTCGCCGCCACGGGTTGCTGCGCGCTCGAAGCCGGCCGCCCGAGCGGGCGGCGTCCGACCCCGCGGGCCTCCCTCCTGGTCGCCCGCGCCGCCTGCTTCGCCACGGGCTTGTCGACGGGAGAGTGGCGGCGGTCGCGCAGCGGGCAGCAGGGAGGGCACGGGCAGCTTGACTCGAGGGGCTTCTGAGGACGCTGCGCCTCCTCCTCCTCCTCCTCCTCCTCCTCCTCCTCCTCCTCCTCCTCCCCTCCTCCTCCTCCCCCCTTCCTCGTTTGCCTCCTCCTTTGCCTCCCCTCTCCTCCATTTCCTTGCATCACGAATTGCGCCTCCGTGGCGCGCCCTGAGGCGTGTCGGCAGGGCGGGCTGGGCGTTTCGCACGAGGCCTTCTCTCGCTATCCGCGCATGCTTCCCGAGCTGCTGCTCGGCAGGAACCTCCCGGGGGCGAGACGCGGCCACAATGCAACGTGTGCCCCTCGCCTCGGCGCCGCGCCCACTCTCCGTTTCGAGGCAGCTCCAGAGTTTTCGCGGCTGCGGGGCGGGCCGTTCTCAAGGTGGGCCCCTCGCCTCGGCGCCGCGCCCACTCTCCGTTTCGAGGCAGCTCCAGAGTTTTCGCGGCTGCGGGGCGGGCCGTTCTCAAGGTGGGCCCCTCGCCTCGGCGCCGCGCCCGCTCTCCGTTTCGATGCAGCTCCAGAGCTTCGCGGCTGCGGGGCGGGCCGTTCTCAAGAGGTGCTCCTCGCCTCGGCGCCGCGCGCACGCTCGTGGCAGGCGGGGCCGCGGGGGGAGCTGCGCGGGCGGAGGGCGGGCGGGGTATTGTTGGCCCTTGGCATCGCTCGGACGTGTGCATTTTTCCTTCGGAGAGGACAATCGAGGAGCATCCTTGATCATTTGGCGAAAACACCACGCACGAAACCGAAAAAAAACACAGGGAATGGACGTCCAAGCGATGGCGAGGGCCTGCGGTGCCCGCCTCCAGCGCCGCGGACGTTCGTTTGTAAGTGTTGGCAGCGGCTTCGCGGATACAGGATCCGGCTTGAATAAGG